AGGGCTCTTCTCTGTGTGCGCTTCCCATAGCCTCCCCGCTCACGCTCACCGGTGAGTGCTCTACATTAGTGTTGTATGGGTGAGCACTGGACTCGCGTGTGTTTGACTTCAGCTCACATTCATCACTGACCTAGAAAAGCATATGTCATTGCACAGCCACAGCAGGACAGGAAACGTAACTCAGAAGCAGAGAAAAGAACCAGCAATTACACACTCCTGCCTATTATCATATTATCTATTTCGTTATCATATCGTCTATTTTCTGCACTTTGAGTTAATTGCTTATAAAGGGCAGTGGTTTTTGCGACATTTTGACTGCTGTTAATACCACTGATACTCAAAGCTGTCTGATTTATTGGAAAGCATGCTTTTTAATGCTATTATAACTGAATCATGTGCCGGACATCCCAGCCAATCTAAAGCAGCATCCCTCTCCTTTCAAACTTCTTTATTAGCCTCTCTGGTTGTCACGTCTTGCAGTCCAAAGATTAACCTCTCTGATTCAATTACTTCATGCAGAAAATGTCTTGATTCAGAATGAGAACAGGTGCATCTCATCGTGTGCCTTATTTTCCAATACTTGGTTTAGGCAAAATCCAGGTATTACTAAAGGTTTGTGTAGAAGTGTCTCTCTAAAGAAAACGAAAAAAAACAAATCAAGTAAAATTCACAGTACCTAGTGCTATTTTTTATATTTTTTTTTTTTTTTTTTTAAAGTCAAACATAGAATCTAAATATATGGAGGAAAAGCAGAGGTACTGTCCATAATGTCAACACAATACCTAGAACTACAAGAGCAAAAGGGAAGAACAGGGTGAAATACAAAGGCCACAACCTCGAACGGCAATGGGCACCAGTGCAGGGTCAGGCATACAAATCCACTCTTGCAGTGTTTGAATCTCTTTAGCAGTGGAGTGCGGTCACAGCTTCTGTAGGCTTGGAAGCATGAAAGCCATCTCTGCTGAAAATACGCTGTCAAACTGATGGTCGCTAAGGGACTGCTGGAGCAGGAGGGAAAGCTGAAGAAGCTGAAGCCTGTTTGCCTGCAGGGAGGTGTTCCCCAGCTCCTCTCCAATGCCGGAGGCTGGCTTTGGTGGGCAGATACTGCACCTGAGCACTCATGGTAGGTCAGGACCCCTCTGGGTTCCTTCTCAGTCTGGTTAAGCAGGACACATTGAACAGCACGAACAAAGCTTTTTTAAAAACAGTTTGATAATTGTGTAGAGATGTTTCTATGCTTTTGCTTACATAGGTTTAGCGGCAAATATGATTCAGAGCATAAATAAGATACCATTTTTATTAATAATGATCTTGTCTATACTTCAATCAGCTCATTTAAGCTTTCAAATAAAAAAAAAAAACAACAAAAACCCAAACAAAAAAACCAAAACAAACTGAGCTGACCAAAAGTCAAAGCACCCGGTTCATGAAACCATGAGAATGTGAGGGCCAGGTGCACAAAACATGGTGTGTTGTGAACAGAAAGGTGATGCAGGAGGAATATATGGGGTAAATAACTACCTGACAAATAAACTGTATTCTTAGTGTAGTAATATAGAATCTGTCCCAAAACCTTTTATGCATATTATCTTCCTAGCTCCTCAATGGCTTTGCAGTCCTATATACATGATGACAGAGGATGCTTTTAAATCAAGTTAACTGAATTGGCTTAGCAGCCCTTTACAGTCCTGTAGATCCACTTTGCAAAGTTTGTTTTAGAAAAATTTGTCTCCATGCAGTCTATATGTTCAGAATACCAAACGTAATTATTTTAATTTTTTTTTTTTGGACACACTGGTTGTTTCTGTGAAACCAGTTTGATTACTTAGGTCCTTAAAGTTCAGCACACATTCAGGTGATTTGCTGATTTAGGGTACCTAAATCTCTGTACGTATTAAAAGTACTCCACCCCTCTCAGCTCATGATGTCCAGATTTTGAAAAAATCAAATTTCCTCATTATCTATTCCTCTGTTCCCCCATCAATTCTCTCAGTCTTAACTGACAAAACAACCACTTTATGTAGGTGGGGGTTTTTTGGCAAAATTTGCAAATATAAAATGTGTAGGAAATACCAATTTATTCTCAGTTTATAGCTTTACACACATTTTTATCACACCCACAGGATGTGTAACACAGAAACAAAAATCAGTATGGTGAGAATTTATAATACAGTTACAGCTAATAGCAAAATCATTTCAAGAGCTAACAAAATAAAAATGTGAGTTTATTTGTCTAGAAAGCTGCACCTTTTTCTTTCTTCATTTCTTATATTTGACAGCTGTCCTAGATGAATGTCAGTTTGACTGTTATTGTTTTGAAAATTAGGGACTGAAGGGTTGTTTTCTTCTTCATCTGCAACATATAATTGTGCGAGGAAGAAAAAGATCCTATACAAATAGTACACTTCCTCAGATCAACATGAGCAGTATCTGCTCTGAAACTTCATTATGAGAATGCCAAATGTTCTCTCAATAACAGAGCCTATGGCAGTATGAGCTTTATTGTAGTTTCCCTTAGCAAGTGTTGATGGATTTATGGAGGGCTTCATTAAATATAGGCTTAAAGGATATCCGCTATCGCCCACTTGTCAAAAGAAAAAAATAATATCAAAGCCATTCGTGCAGATCAGAGATGCAGGTGTTAACAGTGCATTATAATCTGGTAGTGTTTAACTTGCCAATTAATTGCAGTAGTCTTGTCTGAGTTCAGACACTTAAAAGATAAATTTAAAAGATGAATGCATCTTGCGTAGGCTTAGGGCACATGTATAATGATACCATATTGCTAATGATTCTTGCTTCGGCAACCCGGTTCATGTTTGCATTTCTCTTACTGAAACGCTCCTTCCTAGCAATGACTCTGCATGCGTGCGGCCGCTAAGTCCCAGGAATGGGCAGCTTTGGCACATTTGCTCGTATTTTGAGGGATTGAATGTCATAGTCCGAGCCTATTTCAGTACTACCTGGAGAAAGAGTGATGTTTCACAGCGGCAAACCTGCCTATTTCCTTGTCATTTGTGGGAGTGAGTCAGTAGCATGGGGAAATAACGTGGCATACGAGGCTGCCTGCTGCACGGTTACTGCATGACTGCAAGTTTTCAAGCCCTTAGCAACCAAATCTCTACTCTTGCACACTCGCCTTCCTTACAAATAGTGCAGCTGCAAACACAGCTCTGAAACAAAGCTCAAAATACCATGTGCAATGGGCTACATTTTCAAACAAAGAAGGTGCACCCTGGTATTTGTAAAACATGCACTTAATGAAATCAGATAATAACAGGTACAAAGAATAATGTCACGACCTGAATTGCCTGTGGAATCATAAACATTTTGTGCAACCAGTTACACACCTATAGTCTGAGCCACCTCTTTAGATGGCAGAATTATCTATAATTGGATACTCATGTTTAGGGGAAAAAAAAATGAATAAACGAAGTAAACAAAAGCAAATGTAGTTCCAAAATTGAATTAATCTTCCAGCCTATAAAAAGTCAAACAGAATACTATTATTCTGACCTTCTACAGTGTTCATCAGGCAAAAACACTGGAGTCCTATGCATAAAAAAATTATTTATTTAGTAGCACAACTGAAATGGAAGAAAATTTATAGCACATTGTGCTAAATAGGTAATGAGTACAATTTGCAAGTGCATTGTCGAAACCACCATCCATTGTTTGAGTGGGAAACTGGCACGAGGACTTGCTCCTTGGAGGAATATAGGCACACCCCCAAAATACGGTTTATTTACATGTTCTTTAATCAGTGGAGCTTAGAGACCTGGATGCATTTGAGGATCAGTGAAACACATTGAAAGGCATCACCTGTGGGTGAGAAGCTGGTGTCACAGGCAGAGAGGAGGAGGCACAGCCGGGGAGACGAGGGGGTGGCGGTGCTCTGTAACACAGAGGTGCAATGGAGAAGTGGGGGAGAAAGGCAAAAAAGATACGGCAGGAAGGCTTGCTTCCAAAACACCGGGAGCCACTACGGTAAAGGCTCATGGACATAGAAATTTCTGGTTTGATTTAGGCACACCCTGCCAGCCAGTCATGTCCATAGGCTGTGCTTTGCCAGATTGAGCTTTCACTTGTCTTTGCAAGCTTGAATGGCAGACCACAAGAGACTCGCGACTATTCAGTGCATAAAACATAATCCTACTTGCAAAACAAGTGTGCTTGCACTGCCTGCTCTGGGAAAAGATATTAAATCATTCCAATCAACAACCTGGTAGTTTTGTAAAATGCTTCGCGTTAAAAATGGGGGCTCAACCTTGGACTTGCCAATAAACAATTTCTGGTTTTGAAATGGGATCTATAATGTGCAGTGATGAAAACACTGACAGCGTCTGATAAACTCTCCCTACAGGACAGCCTCAGGGGAGGTCAAGCGGTCCAGAATTGGTTCTGTGACAAATCATTTTGGGGGCGGGGGGAATAAAACACTGTTTATTGTGGTGTTAATTTAATCATCCAGGCAAAAAAAGTCCTGGGAGAAAAAACATAGATAATGATTTAAAATTATGAAAAATAAATTAGCTCCTTTTAATTAGCGGTTGTGCGGTATGAATTCTGCAGCTTGCAGGGCTCCTTCGTGAGCCTCCAGTTCTGTGCTCACAAAAAATTGAGCATCAGAAGAACAAGCCACTGGCACCAGAAAAAACAAAATAGGTTTTATATCACTTGATTTAACGAATCTAACTTCTCATTCTGAGGCTGGAGGTTTTCCTTTGGGCATTCCTTCTCAAGAGGCAAATGAAAATCAAAGGCTTGGAAATCAGGGGAGCGCATACCTGCTGTGAACAGTGAGATCACATGTAAAATCTTTATAGCAAAGCTAATGCTGTGCAAGAAGTATGTCAACGAGTGGGTTTAGCCCATTGGGCTACAGCCTGGTCTAGATCTTTCGTAGTGATTTTCTAACTAAAAATCAAAAGCATTACAATACAAGGCAGAAAATTAGAGTGCCTGTAAGGGAGGCTTTTAAAGTTTGTTTGAATCCCGAGATGCTGCGGGAGTAAGTCCGCAGGCTGCAGTATCACTGTCGCTTGATTTCTACCACTGTTGGCCACATTCATTACCCCTGATTATGCAGACACATGTAAACCTGGCTGTGCATCCCTTCGCTCCTCTTTCAGGATTATTGGAATTGAGAGTCACTGTACGACAGTCAGTTGTTTCTCCTCCCATGTTCTTGGATGGCAGAATTGGGTAACGTGCAGAAATTGAGGGAAGTTTAGCTGCTCTATATAAAGGAGGGATGTAATTCATTTCTGTCTGAAACACAAAGATACCAAGGGCCAAAATGTGGTGCTTAAAAGAATGTTGGCTGTGTTAAAATTCAGTGCCACTTCCACCTCAAAGCAAATAACAGTGACATTTGATAAGTTTTACTGTAGTTACAGGTAGAGCCTCGAGGCTGGAGGCTAGGATTATCATTTCAGCCAGTTACAGCATTAGGCTGGTGTTTTTGTGGCAATGGTGTTATCACTTGTGACAGTTTTGGTCAAGTACAACATCCTGTTTAGGTTCTTCAGTTGCTCCTTTTATTAAATTATCATTTGAAGTGAATTCTATCATCATATCTTTTATCTCATTTAAAAAAAAAGCTGCAGTTGGATATGAGAAAAAAATTGAGAAAATATGTTTCATGATCTGAAATATTTGTGGGAGGAGAAGGGATTTCTATTTCTACTTCAATTGTCCCCATGAGTGGATAAGAACAGTAGATTGAGAAGTAAAAAATTAAAACATGGTATTACTATATTGAAATACAGTCTAGAAGTCAGTTCTACAAACAGTTGAAGTAATAAGACTGCCCTAGTTAGAATGGCATTGAAAATATCTACCCAAACATTCTTAGTATGGGTGCCTGAAACTGGTGTAACTATTAATTATGTTGCTGAAACGTCCTCATTACAAAATGTCAGGATGACTCTGCCTCAGCCGTAAAGAAAAAAATTAAATGAGAGTTGCAGTTTTTGTGCTGGTGTAATCTATAGTGTAACCTGAGCTAGAACGCAGTGAGGGCAGGAAAGAAGAGAGCTACCCAGAAACTCTGATGCGACTCGCTCTTCTTTGCTCTTTTCTTTTTTTACACACATTTTTTGTTTTTCTTGTTTTTAATAGTCTTCATATTTCACTGGGAAAGTACTGACTATTATTTAAGATTACCTTGAGCTCATTTTAAGATATTTGCAAACATCTCGCATCTTAAAAAAAGAGTCAGTTTGGTACATGCTACTTTTTACTATGTTAAAACAAACGGTGATTTTGAACTTACACTCGGGCTTACCCACTCATTCTCTGCTCTTGGTCATTGTGATTGTGGTATTTTAGTTCTGCAGAACCATGAGCAGTTTAGATTGACTGTGCAGGCAGACGAGATCTGGCAGCCCAGGATTGCAGGCAGCTGTAGGGAGTAGCTACAACAACTGAATGAGGCACACGTTGTAAGCGGTCTCAATACAGCTGCATGTGTAAGTAGGCACGGTGAGTCTTTGCTTAGTGAACATTTCCAAGTAGGTTATTTGTTAAATGAAGGATTTTGCTGACTGTTTGCAAAGGGATGAGAAATAAGCTGGCTGTGCGCTAGAAAGAGGTTCAGATTTTGTGGTGACCGGGACTGCAGTGTAAGATGCTGAGATGGATATGTAGAACTGACTATTTCATGTGATCCTTATCTGCACTGGGCATTTCCTCCATCTGTATAGGTGCACCGGTATAAATCTTGGTGGTTTCAAACAGGAAGAAGCTACGCTGGCACGAATGACAGCCTACAGCAGGTTTGCTGCCCTCACTGGTGTGGCTATGCAGGTGGCAGGAGCAAACTTAGAAGGGCAATGCCCACAGCGGCTAGAACACTCTTACCAAAATGGTAACTGGGTACTATCAGCACCCACAGGCACCTGCCCGCAACAACCACGGTTGCAGCTACTGCTCAGTGCAGGCAAGGCTTCAGTTACAGAATATGTCTAACACCCATGTTATGATTCCCCTCGAGGCGAATCCAGCTTGAAGAAGCTCCCGGCGCAAGCCCGTGCCCTCCTGAGGCTGCGGCACTCTGGCTGGTGCTGCTTGGCTGTTCGCAGGCTGTGCTCGGCATCCAGCTCCTAATGGGATTTGATTGAAATAAATAAATAAAGGCACTCTCCCAGACAGATGTTTTTTGTAAAACCAGTCCCTTTGCAGAGCTGATTTAGAGCACAGACACACAGAGAGGAAAGTGTTACAGGGGAATGGCGAAGCAGGAGGAAGTGATTTGAAAGGGGTGGGGGCTGGATCCCCACCGGGCAGCTGTGACACTGTGACACTGGGCCATCGCCTAACTAGTTACACAATCTGAAGCAATTTTTTTCTTTGTTACTATTACTGACATTTTCTCAGTCACTTATTGGTTTTCTACACTGACTTTAGCCAAGCTTCCACCAGGCTATCAGCAGAGTTTCTGGTGGCTGACCAGATACCATCAACCCTGTCAGACTTCCCTATTTGTGGTTTTCTAGACATAATTTAACATTTCACATTTTAAGAAGGATGTCTTATATGAATATTTGTCTTGATCAATTTTTTTCATGGTAGTATCACTAGGAAAGTGTACTTCATTTGAATAGGACCATTGCAGTACCAGTTTCTAATCCTCCTTATGAAATACATCTTTGCCACTGGGAATTTTGTTTTTCATGTTTGAATGAAGACTAAGGTCAACAGCATTAAAGGTACATGGGCTGGAGGTGAGCAGGGTGTGTGGTTCTTAAAGGATTCCTTTGCTTTCTTGTTTATGGCAAAGAAGAACATGAAGACACAGAGATAGCAGGAGGAAAATGCAGTGGAGGTAGAAGAGTTGGAGTGAAGCAAGATGAGTGAATGGAGAAGAGAGAACAAGTGTCAAAGACACACTGGGCAGAGTTTGGCTGGGACAGGAATATGAAGCAACTGGTGGGAAAGACTATGGTGGCATCCAGGAACACTGTCTGATAAAATACAAAGTTTATCAGGCCAAGCACATATCTCAGCTTCTGTAGCCCCGTCCTTTATTGGAATCTGATTTGTATACTTAGTTTTAATGAAGATTTAGTCACTGTGATTGTAAAGAAAAGCTTGAAGTCATAAACAGAACAGAAATGCTGGAGCGATTTGTGCCTAAATTTGCAGAGGAAATTTGAATCAGGATCCAGACACAAGCATTGCCAGGAGTGGGTGAAGGTCACCGAGCAAGAAGGGTGCGAGCAGCAGCACCGTAAAGCACAGCCCTGTAACGTGAGTGGTGGGATGGTATAAAGAAGGGGAGATAGAACTTGCACCTCCACGCTGGCTGCAAAAGGCTGAGGACACACGGCATGTGGCATGGGCCTTTCGCCTGAGGTGAAAGACAGGAGGCCACGGGTGCGGAGGCGGTGGGTGTAGAAGGCCAATGGTGCCGGTATGGCAGCGCTGAGCCCCCAAGAGCAACCCGGGTGGGAAACAGAGACGGGGTGCACGGGGCACCGAGGGGAAGGGGCAGGCTGGAGCGCGGGGAGGGCAGCGGGCGCTGGCAGCCCGGCAGGACTCGGCCCGGTGCCCCAGGTGCAGGGTTGAAGGCAGAGCAGGTGCCGGCCAGCCGGGGGGCAGACGGCAGGGCAGGGCAGGGCAGGGCTGG